TATACTGGTTTTCCGATACATTTTTACACCCCTATAGTCTAACAGTCTAACACATGCTTTAATAAACCATGATCACACTAAATATCCCAAGTGAAGCATTGTAAGATAGCTGATATTTTATCATTTCCAGAATACACAAACTAAAATGGAAGGAAGTACTTCAACAGCTGCAGCAATACACTGTAAGTCATTACAATTAGTTGGTTTAATTTCTAAACTTCATGTCAGTGGACTTGTTTCAGGTATGGAATCATTTTGAGCAAGATAAAAAGTGTATTAAGCAAAACTGCATATTTATGCATGTTTTTTAATCGGTGATTAATTCTTCTGTTTTCCGGACGAACTTCCGGTAATTTTTGTGTCAGTTTACAGACGATGGCCAAACGTCTAAAATATCTTTGTGTTGTGTCCAGCAGGTCACATAGTAACGAGATATAGCTTGATAAAATGGCTGCGCGGAAATATATAACGGGCGGAAACCAATGACTAGACGATATTGACAGTTTTACAAACAAATATTTTTTACTGAGAAGTATCAACTGATAATATGGAGTTAAATAACCACGAAAACAATACCAGTACAAACTAGTGATAGGGATTGGAAAATCCTTAATTATCAGCCTTTAGTTTTGGTGAAAATGATTTGCTCCAATATGCATGTTCAGTTCTCTTATATCATTTTTTTTTCATTTTAACAAATGAACTATCTTATCCTGGCACTTTGGCATGTTTGAATGTGGAAGGCCTTGAAATTGGGATGAAGAAGGCCATGGAATGTCACAGAAATTAAAAAAAAATGAAATTATTTCCAGTGTTTGTGTTTTATGGTCATAAAACATGGAACATTTTCTTCAAGTAAATCAACCACATGCTTTCTTATTATATCCTAGTAGGTTGGCATGGTTACCTAAACAGCGTGTATGCATACCTGGTCATTGTTAGACCATTTTGATTGACAGGTGGAAATATGTCAGTTGTNCCAATTTCCTTAACAAGATAACACAAGCAGAAAGCATAAAAAACATTGGAACATTGTCAACGCTCCCTTTACACAAATTCAGCGTTTCCTGNTTTAATGGTTTCCTATGGAACGCCATAGCTGTCACATATGGCATAAAAATACTATATGAATTGAGATTTTCATTATATTATATGATTTTATCATTATATTATATTATGTCATCATTATATTATTCGATTATATCATTATAATATTTGATATCATCATTATATTATTTGATTTCATCATTATGTGATTTATAATGATAAAAGCAAATCAAATATTGATGCAATCATATAATATAATGAAAATATCAATTCATATAGTATTTTTATGCCATATGTGACAGCTATGGCGTTCCATAGTTTCCCATTCAATACCGCTTATATTTGACTCAAATGGCAGAACCACACTCTTAAAATGTATCAGCGTTTTGCGATACTCGTGAGATATACGATATTCAACGGGTAACCATTTAATATCATGTACTCATTGCATATGATAATCAGGCACGGGGTAATGGTAATGTGTAATGGTAATTAATTACAATTAATTACATTTTGTTAAGTAATTGGATGTAATGTGTAATTGAGGATTGATGAGAATCCTAAGGAATCGGAGAAAATGTTTCAAAACCTTTGTAACGTCATTTTCAAAATATAGTTAAATGAAATGAAATTAGACAAAAGGTAAACAGCAACCATTCGAGGAGAATACAATTGAGGACGGAGGAAGAGAAAAGAAGGGGAGCAGAAACACTAGACAAGGCTGGCTTTATATAAGTGACAATTACATGGAAGTTTAGGTCAGAATTGTGAAAATGGAAAAAATGATGGGTACATTTACAGACTACGTGGGTAATGCAGATTACGTCAATGGACTTACAGTACTAAAAGGGTAGATGTACAGATGCATAACATTCTTGGAAACCAATTGCTTCAAGGAAAGTCTTGATTGAACCAAGGACGTAATGGAATTACGGGGAAATAACGAAATACGAAGCCCTTGTGAGGAGGTGGTTACTTGGCTATGAAAAGCTAGACTAGGGGACCTAGTAAGTGCATGGCTTATCCTGACCCATGCATATGGACCAATGCCACCTACACTGAGTGATTGAAGTAGCATTGCATAATTATTACTTACCATACCAAATTACTATGATGATACGTAGATACTTCAGACGGATCTAGATGTGCTTTTGTTGTAAGGATTTCTACGACATCATGGCACAAATCTAGAGAAAGGCATGACAGGATACACCGTATCTGTTTGTCACATGGTTTAAGTGAATAATGAAGAAGACAAGAGAGAAGCTGAAGGATAAAAGAATCAACCAAATAGAATCTAAGAGTTGTGGCAACATTTGGTGCCGCTGAAAAGATAGATGGCACAAGAAACCTACCGTCATCTGGGCATTATGGGTTTGGTAGTCCAACATGCAGCTCTTGAAACGGACCCGTTTAAATCAACAACAACAACACACACAAAAAACATGATATTGAGTAGAAAAAACGGGATATTTCTAAGAACGTCATCATCCGAATATAAGACAGCAACAGTCATACAGGGGCTCAAACAGGAAGTGAAAATGGTCACACCACAGTCACATGGCCCGACAGTGACACCAACACGAAGGCCTAAGTACGACTGATTTGTTTCGCTACATTGGAACAGGTACTCTGAAATAACTCACATTTTACATTTTTTTATGGAGCGGAGATTGTCAGAACGTCCTAGTGTCCTGGAAAGTTTATAGCACAATTCAAGGTGCGTGATTATGAGGAAAGAACAACTTCTCCAGCAGTTCAAGAGGAGGCACAACCACAGTTATACTTATGATATGGTGTTACTTGGTTGGTAGATTTCCTTATTACATGCGAAATCTCAAAATGGGTTGCATCATCTAACCCTCCTTAGCTTGAAAATAGTATTTCAGCCAAGAAGGACGGGAATAGTTTACAGTGAATGTCGGCATCAGGTGAAAACACCAATGTAAAACATATTACGCTAAACATTCTGGTGACATATTTTGTTTCACTGTCACCAATTGAGGTTACCACATTTAAAATGCAAGGAACAAAATAATATTGTTCAAACATTTCATATTTCGGATGAAGCGGTTTGCATATATTTGTAATATCCAAACATGCCCAGTTTGTTTTGGTTTGTATCTCGTCACACCATATCTTTTAGCAAGTGTGTCACAATAAACTTGCAGGGATGAATCCGTTATCTTGTCTCTTTTTTTATTTAAGTTGAGACAATAATAACACAAACACTTTAAAGAATTTGTCCTAAGTTAATAACTTCAAAATATAAAATAAATATCCGGGCAAGGATGAATATCAGTCAAAGGAACTTCTTGTGAAATATCACCGAGAAGTATCGCTAGTTACTCTGGTAGTGGAATATTATAACATTAGTTGGTTTTATCTCAGCAGCTGATTTGTTTCACAAAATGTTTTAACACAATAGGTATTAACTTGTACTTCTCTAAATTTTTAAATTAATAAATAAAGTAGTTCTTGCCCCTCTCTGTTTCAATATGAGTTTAGACAATTTGGATTTCTAACATTTCGGTCCCTAACATCACCGATGAGTCCCAGAAGGACGAAACAGCTGTATGATGCAGAGCTGTTCATTTTTGGCCTACTGTATCCATTTCTAAATTCTTGTATCAATTGTTTTACATCACGGCAATACTTTTACTTTTACTGAAACCGAGCAGAATACAATATCATGCATCCTTTTATTTTAGCTTTTAATTTTCAGAAATAATATTTTTATTAAAAAGTATAAATATTGTACGCTGTCTAGGGTGAAGAGGAATTGCTTGTTTCTACATTTAAACGCTGCTGTTATCGCCGTTCTTGGTGTGTTGTGAGATTCAGTTGCTGTTACGGGTATATAAGGGAATGCTACATTCATGACGGTAGTCTTTACTATGAGTGTTATGTCGTTTACCCTTTTTGTGGTCTTCTAGTTTTAGACAGCCAATCCTAGTTAACGAGTCATTACACTTGAACTCCAGGCTACCCCTTGTGTCGGTTAGGCACTGGCTCTCCTGGAGGCAAGCTGTCGTTATATTATATAAGGAGTTGTTATGCATTGATTAAGCGGCGTCTGAGAATACCTATAGAACCGGAATTCTCCCCTAATTCAAGTATATTTACATCGTTTACTGGCAAGTGGGCGGACTTTCCAAATATCTTAAGGTCATAGGAGTGTATTGATAAACGAAAATAGGAAGTACATCCCTAGTTGAAAATCCAATGTAGGGAGACAGTATCACAATTTCCGCATATTCTAGTGATTAATATTAAACTGATGAATATTGTATGTTCATTATTGACAGAACTGTTTGTTCTCTCAATATTAAAGCATTTCAAAGCAATACAGGCATTAATTTAGTTTTTTTTTTTTTATCAATGAGTCAAATGTGTCTATTTTTCTTCAGAAAACCGGCTACCAATTTCTCTACTGTGAAGTTTTTCAAGAAAGATAACTCTTCCATGAAAATTACTATGTCTATATGGTTTCCATTTAAAATCCTTAAAATTCTGACAACCTGTATTGTTTTTGTGGCAGAAAATTTTCTTTACTTCAAAGCAATATAACTACAAAATTTGAAAAAAATCTACTGATAAATGGTGACACAATCCTATTACCTCAATGACGTATTTATAAGAATTATCATTTTGTTAAATAATAAAATGATAGAGACTAGCCATAGTGCTCAGCTGAAGAATGCACCTCATCTACCAGGGGATATTACTAATGGTTGAATAATGCACATTGCCTTACAGAGGGCTTCAAGTCAACAAAAGTTCACTTGATAACGTCACAATGTTATTACAAATTGAATACATACCTTAGTGTGCTATTTATATACCCTTTATACTGTTGTAATGCTTTAACATGAATAGCAGGTTTGTTACGGAGCCGCCTAGTCACTTCATTCAATATTGTCTCCGTCTAGTTCTAGACTNATGATTGTTGTTTTCCTAAGTAACTGCACTACAGTATATGTGAATGCTAATAAGGAACCAGTGGTAAGTTTAAAACAAACATAATCACTTACCAGTCATTTTTGATATGTTATATGCTAGGAATGCAAAATCGACACGAGAAGAACGTGTACAAAATGACGACCATCGTGAAACCCCCGAAAACTGGAGACGAAACTAATGGTTCTGGGATGGTAATTCTCCAATTGATATTATTTCATTTAATTTTTAATAAACTGATTTTGAGGAAACCGCTCGATTCCCCGATACCACCTAAAGTTATTTTCATAAATCTTGTTGTTGTTTTCTAGATATCTATAACATTTAGACATTGATACCATCGTTTTTATATTGAATGTTAATGGCGTCCCTAATGAGGCGACACATGTTTGATATTTATTTTCCTTCTATAATTGTTTATTTATTACATCTTTTTTTCCCTTTTCCTTGCTTCTAGGATATGCTATTTTAAGAGAGGAAATAAAATGAAACAACTGAAAGTGTTGACAGGTATATGTCTGGTAACGACAGCACTAGTCATCTGTTTTAACCGTTTAGACATCCATGGCGTCGTGCAGTTAAACCACAAGGACGGTCAAGAAGAACGTGTATATCAAATAAAGACATATAATCAGCAGGGACATCAACAATACGATCAGAGACATACTGAAAGTACCACAGACAAAGGACAACCTCTGTCAACATTACATCCCGACTTACAAAATACAAAAGTGCATCACCTAGATAAAGGACAAATCTTTGATTCGTACAACATGATGTCGGTAAATGTCTTCACAAAATGCTCACTCAACAGTAGTTGGACACTGGACCAGTCCATCTGCAAAGACGTCCCCGTGTTCAAGTCAGTCAAGATGAGAACAAAAGCCGGTCTAGTGGATATCTATATTCACGATCCAAGGAAGGACACGTGGGTTAGCGCCACGTTGTCGAGGAGCGGGACATGGGAACAAAACACCACAGAACTGATAAGTTCAGTGCTGCGAGCAGAGAGAGATGCTGTTCTTCTGGATATTGGCGCTAATATCGGAGTGTATACATTGACTGCCGCCAAGCTGGGTTTTAAGGTCATAGCTGTGGAACCTTTAAAAATAAACGTGCAGAGGATTTGCAAATCTTTACGTGCAGGGAACTTTACAGAGAACGTTACAGTTGTGCGAAGTGCGTTATCAAATGTTTTACAAAAGGTTAATCTAGGAATTGTAATAAACAATATAGGAGGGTCATACGTTCTTCAGGGAAAGAATATTAACAAGGCCAAATCAACTCTAGTGAGAGGAAAATATCCAGACGTTATTTGGACGACAAGGCTGGACGATATTATGCAACTACCCGCGTTCGATTCAGGAAAGGTAATTATAAAAATGGATGTGGAAGGTTACGAAAACAAAGTCTTGAGTGGAGGAGTACACTTTTTTGATCGAATGGATGTACCTACAGTTCTAATGGAATGGACATATCACAGAAAAGCAATGAGTGGAAAAGAAATTTTGACATTTTTTGAAAACAGAAACTATATTGCATATGCCCCTGTGAAAAATATACAATTAGACCTAAAGCGCTCGTATGAATGGCCTGCTGATATTCTATGGAAAAAACGTAAAACTCCATAGACTGTCAACATTGCATTGACTGTCTCTGATCTAATGTGTACGTGCTGAAGATTTATGATAATACCACAACTGGGAACATACACAATCTATGATATGATAAAACGATGCTGACTTTAATGAGTCATTTGAGTTTGAGGAGTTGCTTTTTGTTTATGAGGAATTAGTACTTTCAACTGTTAAATTGAGTCTCATTTTTATATTGTGTTTCAGAGCTCGGACTGCATACTCTGTCGTTTTTTATAAAAAAAATATTATTAAAATTTTACCTTTTTTTAGTAAAGAAAGTGAACAGAATAAGACAAGGTTTTCATTAGCTACAGAAGTGTTTATTTGACTGATGTTTCCTTATTAAAATCCACATTACTGTCAAACTTTCATTCGAATGGAAACTAGTGTGTTGATTTATTTTGCTCGTTTCACATATGCAGAATATAAACAATAGTTAAATAATTCTGTTTTCGTTCCTATTTAAGCAATTTATCAATATCATCGTAATCACATTCCTGTCCGAAAATAACAAATGGAATATAGCAGCCTGGCCAAATTTTCTCCCTTTCGTGTCTATTAAGCAATAATCGCCTATCCACGAACTTTAAGTGATATGCCTGTTTCCGGCCTTGTTCCGCAGTCTGAACGAGACTAGATTTGTTTGCATCGTGAATCAACTCACTTTCTAACAGTGTCTTGAGGATGGAGAACCTTCCCAAAAAGGCCGCTATGTCCCATGTCAAAGGCAATCTGGTTCACCTTCCTTTCAAAAACAGAGTACGTCTTTTTTTTCAAAAGAAGTGATACGACAACCCTAGCGTCATCAATACAGGCGTAATGAGCGACGTTATAAGAATGTGTCCTATGGATGATAACATCGAGGTCATTCAGATCTGTATCAGACAGTTCCAGAATATATTCAAGGGCTCTGTAGTAATCACTGTTCCACAAAATACTATTGTCGCCGGATATGGCTCTCATTATGTCTTGTGGTATTGGAGGTAGTATTTTACACCGTTCGTCATAGTCCAGTGATAACAGCAACACTTGAAGGACAGAATGGTTATCTTTTGTTCTATCTGCGATGCTAAGACCGTACCCGATAAGTTCATGGAGTATTTTGTATTGTCCTCCCCGTGTAGCATAGTGTAATGCTGACTGGTTTTGAGCGTCCTTTGCCATCACAAACTCGTCACCATGTGATTTTATTTCTCGAATCCTGTCGATATAGCCTCGCATTGCACAGTAGTGAACACATCGCCTTCCGGAAGTGTCATTGCACGACGACTTACAAGTTGTCTCCTCACCGTATTCACTCCACAGGATGTCACAAACCGGCCGAATCCCTGTCCATATCGCAGTGTGGATCGGTAGAAGGCCCCATTTTGAGCGGTATAATACGGTTCTCTCTTTTTTCACAATACTTGATATGGCATTGACGTGACCTTTCCGCATTGCTGTCGAGAGTATTTCCTCTCTGAAATACGTCATTGATACATTTAAGTCGCTGGTTGTGTTTGAATCGTAATTGTCATCATCATAAATAATACACACTCGCAGAAGTTCAGACAGAAGCTCATTTTTTCCGTGCTCGCTTGAACAGAGGAGTAATTTCTTTATGACATCGTTAGCGTTACGCATATCCGTTAATGCAGTCAGCAGAGTATCGACGAAATTCTTGGCGAAATTGTTGTCCTCAAAAACCTGCAAACCCACACACAGATAGCAATTGTTTTTCTGTATGATTTCGTCTATAAGTCTAAAGGAAAGTGTGGTGTAGCAGCGTTCTTGAAGAGTTACAACCACTTCACCCGTTTTCCGAGCGTATGTCTTACTTCTGAAAAAGTCTTTTATGAGCTGAAGGTCACTGTTCTGCAAAATCTTGTCAGGGAAATGTCTGCTGAATGATAGAAATACCGCTTCTTTGATTGTTTGGTGTCTAAAAACAACTGAATCTTGTCCATCAATCTCTTGCAGCAAACTTCGTACAGTGTCTTCTTCCACACAATCAAGAAGCTTGCTAGACGTGATCGTTTTTAGATCGAGGTCACCTGTAACTTGTTCAAAGTCTGCATTCTCAGCCAGTGCATGCAGGTCTACAGGTCCATCGACCAACATCATGTACGCCAGGAGTGCGTACTGCAATCGGCATTGCGCATCTTTTGACTTCCTGAGCTGGTCGACTTTTGAAATAAGTGATTGGTCAGGACGCCTAAAAAAGTCTTCTCCCATTTCAAAAAAAACCTTATTTGCGAAAAACAGAAAGCAACATTGTGGAAATCCTGTCAGTGGTTGGGTGATGCAAATTTGCTTGAACGTGTTCCTATCAAGGCTTTTTTAAGATCGTTTTACTGGAACGCTCCCACTTCCATAGTACAAAGACACTTCGTTATGGATGCAATGTTTTTCTAGCAGTGCTTCCTTTTCCGGCGAAGTCATACAGGATACACTCACAATGTTCTCATCACAAAACAGTTTGCTGTGAAACACTTCTGTATCTTGGCGAAAGTCTGTAAAAACGTTTTCGCGAAATGCCAGGATAAAACGTGGACTACCTTGCCGAAATAAGATATAAATAGTCGCAAATACCTTGTACCATATACTGGCGGCATCGACTGAGTAGGCAGACCTTCCTATGATGTCGTCAAGGAAGACTATGACTTTATCACAAGGTCTGATATCTGTAAGCTGGTCAGGTTTTGACAGTATAATTGGAGTATAATCTTCACGCATGTGATACATCACTTCATACGCAAGGGTTGTCTCCCCGCTTCCTGCTATTCCGTATAGCACCAGTACGTGTTTAGTGTCCAAAAGGTGAAACGAATCCTGCAACTTTTCAGTGTCCTGGAAAACGTTTTCTGGAGCAACATGCTGGTCTAATGTGATACTGGTCATTTCTGAAAACAATAAACAAAAGAAATATTCAGATATGTTTTTAATCAGAGAATCGTTATGAAGTTTTCAGGTTTTTTCAAAATAGAAATGATGGACAAACTAGTTTATTTGTGGTTCATGTGCGTATACACACTAATAAAAACAATCGAACATACGTGTACAATCTAACAATGCACAAAGTTAATTATTATCAAAGTTGACTTTTTTTCTTAAAGAGAAGTATGTACATAAGCGAGTTTAAAACAAATTTTAATGTTAAAGTAGGTCCTCCTCTGATGTCAATGTAATGATGGTATATTTCGCATAATTGTTCATTTCGAAATGAATGTTTTCCTTTGTTATTTGATAACAAAAAATCATTGATTTACATAAAACGTGCAAGTTGTACACAGTATATTTTTCGAAGATTTATAATGTATAATTACGAACAGGTTTTTTATTGTCAGGAAAAACACTAAATATAAAAACAGGTTTGTCGTGTCTTTTCCCAGAATTTCAAGAAAAAACATTAAGTAAGAAATAATCTCTT